TAGTCTCGTTCACTGTGTATCCCTTCCCCAGCCATGTGAATGTAGTAACGACTGTAGCTGCATAATCCACTTCCTGAGGCTCCCTGACCTCAATTTGGAGAGCTCACTGATGCACGTCCACGCTCTAATACGGCTGGTGAAGCTTTGAACTCCATTGGCGCTTGCAGCCATGAGCGCCTGCTGTCCCCATTGGTCAACTCCGTCACGTGGTCTGTCCTGACCAATCACTAGGCAGCTGGTGCCCTCGCCTCCTCGGCGGGAATTCTGTCTCCTCGTCGCCATATTGCAATCATAAAAGGCGTAAGCCACTTTCAGCCACTTTCAAGCCCAAATGTGAAATTGCATATTTAACTCTGCATGGTAACTTTGACTATCCTTTATATATATACTGTATATCAAAATGCTCCCTGAGCATCAGAGAATGTACAGGTTGCAGTGATATGACTTACTGCCAGATTAGGGAAGATATAGGATGGGGCACCATAACTATCTTTCTGATGGTATCCCTTGTCGATGGCAGACATGACATACTCTAAATGTAGAGTGCTCATATGGCCATTGCTCCCTTTTCACATACATTCAATTGTGTCTTTCCTGGTTTCAGCCTGCTTTTGATGACTGACTGCCCTCACTTTCCCCTTCTATTTCCAATCCAGAAGTGGGACATTTCTGTCATATGCCAAGTTGTGCGTGGGGAGTTTCCAGTGTTATAATACCATATTTTGTCTCTCTCTGGCCATGTTGTCCCAGGGCCATATCCTTTCCTCATTTCTCAGGTTGGGATGCTGCTTACCCCGTGTTACACTTCTCTGTGTACGAACTGACTGTTGCAGGTGTACACTGGTGGTTCTTGGGCTAAGTGTTGAGTGGTTCCTGGGCTGTGTACCTGCTAGTTGCTGGCTTGTGTGCTAATCTGTTCTCAAGTTGAATGTCCAGAGGTACCTGAGCTGCATGGTCAGAGGCTCCCTCAGTAGCACTAATGGTACTGCACTGGGGAATCACACGAGGCTTTTTAGACCCATTCAAGCCGACTGGGATCCACCAGGTTCATAATCTGGCACTTTATGAGGCAAGGGAAGCTTAGGGATCAACTCTTAACCAAGAGGAAACACTAGAAGGTATAAGAACATCAAAACAGTCAGTGGTTTGAAAACAAATTAGTAACACTGAGGTAAACAAGGCAAACAATCATTTTGCCTTGTAGGGTAAACATCCCAGTCCATAATATGCCTGATGCCACCAATTGGCAGCTCAGGTCACCTGGAGTTTCTGTCAGTCAACTTATTCACTGCCTGGTGCAGTCAGGTTTGTACCTATGATTGATCCACATTTAGCTTTGTGCTTTCAGATAGTGTTGTTGGCTATCCTTGGAATGTTTCTTTCCGTGCTAGGCTTTTGTTTTGGTTTGGTTTCATTACATGCTTCACGTGTATTTTGTACCACCACTTTGCGTGTCCTCTCATTACATTCAACTCCAGCTATGTCTCAGGGTTCCCTTTACTGAAAGTCGGCTTGCATCTCCCTTGCCTCGCCAGAGTTGTGTTCTCGTGGATTTCAGGTTTCTGTCTATAATAGTTTAATCCTCTTGAATTTTCTCATTGCTGTTAGGGCACGGGTTATCTCTCCACGACTGTGCCTGTTATGTGACTGGTTCAACTCTGGCTCTAAGCTGTGTTTTTGTAGTGTACCAAGACATGGTTCTATTCTTGCCTTTCCCCTCGTACAGAAGACTCAGCCATCAGCGATTTACAAACGCCTTCAGGCACTCTCGCCTTCTTGGGTTATCCTTCACAGGATAAAGGAGGAAAATTTATCGCCTCCTTTACTGGCTGCAGATGGTGGCGTTCCTTATTTAGCACCTTAGGCTTTGTAGCCCGTTTGAGGTGGAGTGGCAGGCTTTTAACATAATCTTGCTCTTGTTCAGCCTTCCATTCTTTCAGTTCCTCCTCTTTTTGTCCTGTTTCACTTTACTCTTTTTGGATAGGCAGCTCATGCTAAATACCTGCTATAGGTTCATATTGGGCTTCCATGACTGAGACACTCACTCTTGCTTTGTCTTGTTTTGTGAGATGGTACTGTACTGCAGTCTTCCCGAGCAGACGGTAGGCTTCACGAGCATTAACCCTTAAAGTGCGCATCACGTCATATGACGTGTTGGACGTTGTTCCAGTCAACTGCGCATCACGTCATATGATGTGTTGGAGTACTACACAAGATTTAAACGGCCCGCGGATACACGGGGTTCACCACTTCTTCATCAGGGCTCTTGTAAACAGATGCCATTTAAAAAAAAAATCGTGGGCCAAACTCCCGGGTGTTATTGGCCTCAGTATTGAGTGAGCAACCAAGCCTGATGCACGCAGCATGAGCTAACAGCGCTGCTGTTCAGCTTGTGACCACAGCATCGCCTAAAAATGACAAAATATACTTGTTCATGCTATTATGTAGCGATGATATTATTACAGAAGACCCCTGACTGATAAAACTGACCAGGGTTCTGATAATAGCAGGATTGTGGTGATATTTAGTGCTGTGGGCCATGGAGGGAGGAGTAATGCTGTGGGAGGGAGGGTGGTGGCGATGTCTTCTGACTGTGTGGCCACCTTTTATTGACTGCACTCAGCATACCAGCTTAGTGGTTCGCTATGGTGAACACAAATGTAGATACTTATATATAACGTGTGTATAGAGGGTATAAACAGCAAGAGAAGGTTTGGAGCCGCCATTTTGGTGAGGGCGGTGGCGTCGTCTGCACGACGCCACCGTGCAGACGACGGTGTTGTTTACTGGTTACCACGATGGTCTTTGGGCACCATACCAGTTTATTTGTACAAGTATGGTATATAAAACAGGTAGATATTTATATATAATGTGTGTATATAGCGTAATAACACCACACAGTATTGTTGGAGGAGAAATATTAGTGCGTCTGGCCTTGAGGGCGGCAACCATCAGCTGACTGTGTGAGGTCCCACGTCTTTGTGCCTTTACTCACCATACAAGCTTAGATGTACAGTTATGGTGAACAAAACATGTAGATACTTATATATAACGTCTGTATATAGTGAATTATAGAAAAAACAGTATTGTGGGAGGAGAATGTGGGCGAGTCAGATGACTGGAGGGAGGGCGAGAGTGGCTGGCTGGTACACGGCGGTCACTCCTCATTACTTTTTTACTCATAATAGCTACTTAGTGGTTCGTTATAGTGAACAAAACATGCAGATACTTATATATAACCTGTGCTTATAATGTAATAACCAACAAAGTATTTGTTCACTGATTGATGAACATAATTGAATCAACAATATGCACACCATATTTTTGAGTACAGCGATGATTCACTCATTTTATTATATAAATATATCAAATTACACACTATTGAATAATATTACAGCAAAAAAACTATGAAAAATCAATCAGAGACATTGAAATAATTAGGTAATTATCTCTTTGTGGCAACTCCGGCCTGACAGCTGGCGAGCAACAGACCGCCTGGGACGCATGCTGAGTCAGCGCCTATAATTTGCCAGACTTTCCTGCCCTATAGCGGGCAATATATGCCACTTACGATTTTTTTATTACTTTTCCCGTGATCAGTGAACACAAATTAACAGGTTAGGAAGAAAAATTTTTTTTTTTTTTTTCAAAATGACATGCGCCTGTGGGGATGACAGGATATTAAACCCCGAGCACGTTAAGGGTTATTAATATAAAAAAGCCGTATTGGCCTTTGCAGTGTGAGAAGTGGGTAAGCGTTAAAGTAAACTCAAGCAAAAAATATAAAAAATTACTGTACCTCGGAATAAAAAATAAAATAACTGAATTACAAGAACAATTATCTGACAACTCTTGGCTGTTACACAATAGCAAAGAGAATCATTAAATAAACGCATGAAAGTCATGTTGATCAATTTATACAGTGAAAACAACTTGGGCTTATGAACGGTTACACTTGAAATATCACAACCTGGGCACGAAACGACTGAGAGGCAGATCGTGGCAGCTTGCATTGTTTTTCCTGGAGCACCTGATAGAGACTGAACATTTGGTGCTGGTCAGGGGTACTTATACCCCTGTTAGTGACGTCACATCCTGTGTCAACTTCACTTGGAACGAGGAACCAGCAGGGTAACAAGTTCCAGTGAGGTGGGCTGATGCGGGTGACAAGGGGGGGGGGTCTGACCCTGGCTTGAACTCCAGAACATACATATTTGTAGATTTATAGTTCATGTTGTTGTGGAGTGAATAGGCTGTCTACTGAATAGGCTGTCCATTGTGAATAGGCTGTCTACGACGAAGGTGAGAGGGAACAGGCAGTTTTTCCAGCTATGCAGGGGAATTGTGTGACAACCTCTTATTTCTCCATTCCTTGAGCTGGAATAGGCATTTCCTTAATAAGATGGTAGATATTCTTTCCTTTCCTGAGTTTCAAGTTTCCTCGTTGAAAATCTCTACCTTAAGACTACTTCTTCTAATTGAGTTAGTGAGTTTTATGCTGTTTTGTTATCTTGACTTTATTTCATTTGGTTGTGGAGAATCCTTTGTGCATCTTCAGTCCAACCCATCATTCTTATCAGTGAATGAAAGTTGGTTGTTTAGGAGGAGCCCAGACTTGGCTCGGTTACTTCATCTTGTGGAGAACCATAATTGATGTTCTATGGTGTAGGAACCAGTATCTCTTGGCATCTCTGCACTCCACCTAGGATTCTCACCAAAGTCTCACACCATGGTGCTATGTACTAATGTCTCACAGTTGCTTCATGGGGTGAGTAAGCAGAGTCAGCACCTAGGTGTATCCATGGGGCCCAGTCTATCTCTAAATTTGCCACACTAAAGGCTTTCTTTTTTGGCAAGAACCTGTGTTGACATCAGAACTTGAGGGTTTTGGAAGTCCACCTGGATGATTGCCTCTTGGTACCTTCCCAAGGGTGCTTTGCCTGTGCCACCTGTGTGTCACCTTGGGCAGGCTTTCATCATGATGACCCTCTTCTCCTCAGGCGGGGTCGGTTACCAAGGTGCGCGGCTGCTGCTCCTCCTGCCGCTTCTCCCCTCGCAGCTTCTGTTCACACCACTCCGCAGCCCAGGTGAGCCTTACTTTTGTTGTAGTTAGGATGGCTTCTCACCGATACTTGCCTTAGGGAGCAACTGAGTGGGATAGCTCGGAAATCTAGCTTTGATTATATAATACAGTATTTGAAAGCCATCTTCTGAGCAGTACACGTGGTTCCTATTCCTGCCTTTCCTTTCCTATGCTTGTAGGTAATTTTATCTTTAAATAGGGTTCAAGAGGAATGTGACAGGATTGGGCTGGAGAGTTTTGCTGTGGTGTTTGTGTTGTCACCTTGTGGTAGTGACTAGAAGATGGTTAGGTAGTTAGCAAGAGCGCAGTGTTTTGATCTCTCTACTGACAAGTTGCACCTGGAAAATTATGTAAAGCACCAGTATGACCCCTGAAGGGATGGTTAGAGATGTTTTCCACCACATTCTTGTGTAACACAAACCCACCTGGATTGTGGGAGATCCTAACCAGTGGTCAATAAGATCTTGCCTTACAAAGCAATGGAGTTCACTGTTTAGTAAAGTGCCCTTTGTGCATATTTAAAGCTAGATCTTTTCTAAAGTTTCCTTAAATTTACCTACAGATCTTCAATTACATAAACTAAAATTATTTTTAATTTTTCTGAATAATGTTTTCTTTTGATCTGGCTGAAATTTACTTGGTTTAACCACTGTACTGCTCTGCATTAAAATATGACAAACCCATCATGCGCTGAAAATAAATTCTTTCCAAAAAATTATTTTCTCTTCGTATATTGTTAAAATCCAGTCTCTGATCATGGGAAACTAAAAAAAATAATGCATGTGACTTACTTTAGCCTTGATGGAGCTGGGAAGTTGAGCAAATTATGGGCGCTGTGTGATGGAGCGCTCGGGTCAGTTGGCCCCGCCACCCCGTAGGGTGACCAAGCAGAAGGAAGAGTGATAATTATTAATTATATTATTATTATAATAATTATTATAATAATTATTATAATAATAATTGTTGTATTTAATAATTATCATTCTTCCTTCTGCTTGGTCTTGAAGGAAGCCGACCTGTAGGTGCGGAACTGGGACGTTCACCTCCTGGGGCTCGTGCGGCCCAGGCTCTGCTTCAGGAGGCTGGGGTCGTTCTTGCTCTTGCTGGGGTGGTTCTTCTTCGGCCCCTACCCCGACAGTCTCTGGGTTTGGAGTCCCTGTGCCTTCTTTCACCAACTTTGAGGTCAACTCCAGAGCTCACAGTTCCTGCGACGGCACTGGAATCAATCGTATTGGCGTTTGCCTTTCCATTGGAGACTTTCGGCACCGTGGTGAGGGGGGAACCTGCTGCTTGGGTAACAGCTTCTCCTTATCAACCTACCCTGGCTTTGCGCCCTGGAGAGGCCACTCCAGACCAACAACCAGAGAGCAACTCCATAGTCTCCTGAGACTGATGGATGCCTACTACTACACCATATGCACACATTATATATAAGTGTCTACATGTTTTATTCACCTTAACTGTATAAGTAAGCTGGTATGGTGTCCAAACATGATAGTGGCCACTACACGACAAGTCACACAGCACCCAGCAGACAACAGCCTCACTCACTCCCTCACCAAAATGGCTCCTCCCAACAAACTCCTTTTGCTGTTATTACCCTCTATACACACGTTATATATAAGTATCTACATTTGTGTTCACCATAGTGAACCACTAAGCTGGTATGGTGAGTGCCGTCAATAACATGTTGGCACACGCCAGCCAGCAGACAACGCTATCTCCCTCCCTCCCTCCCTCGCCAACAATACTCCTCCTCCCACATCGCTGATTCTCACCACAATCCTGCTATTATCAGAATACTGGTCACTATATCATGTAAATTAATAATTTTCCACATGTTTATTTTGTAAAGGCACATGAGAAGTCATTTGAAGAATTTTAGATGGATGAATTAATGGCAGTGTGCTGTGGCTAGCGCTGTGAACATCTTGAACAGCATTTATTCAATGATATCTGAACATTGTACACAGTCTTTATCACTGTCAGGGTCTTCTGTAATACTATCATGACTAAATAATACCAGATACATATATATTTTGAAATTTTTAGGCGATGCTGTGGTCACAAGCTGAACAGCAATGCTGTTAGTTCATGCTGCGTGCGCCAGCCTTGGTTGCTCACTCAGGACTGAGGCCTTCACACACGGGGAACGCTGCCCACAATTTGTTTTTTAAATGGCGTCTGTTTAGGAGAGCCCTGAGGAAGCTGATGTGAACCCCGTGTAGCAGCGGGAGTTTTGAATCATACGCTATACCTTTGAGATCCCCGAGGTGCGTTGCGCACCTCCTGTTGAGAGCCTCAAGGCGCGTTGTGCAGTGCAGTGGTTAAATGTTAATATGAAAAAAGTTATAAAATAATGGCAATCTTTAAAATTTATATTTAGACTCGTCAGTTAAGGGAACGAGTGGGTGGGGGGTGCAAGCAGGAGGGGGGGGCAGTGTAGTTGTGTGTAATTGCTTAGGTGTAGTTACAGGATGAGCGCACTCTAACCGTGAGGTGTGGGTGTGTGAGTGGGCAGACTAGTTCAGACTAGTGGGTGTGTGGGTGGGCAGACTAGTTCAGACTAGTGGGTGTGTGGGTGGGCAGACTAGTTCAGACTAGTGGGTGTGTGGGCGGGCAGACTAGTTCAGACTAGTGGGTGTGTGGGTGGGCAGACTAGTGGGTGTGTTGGCAGACTAGTGGGTGTGTTGGCAGACTAGTGGGTGTGTGAGGGGATCTATGTGCCCAAATGTTCTTGGTCTCTATGTCCAATCATTCCTGAGATATGCCCTGGATTGTTGTGTGCCTGGCTTCCTAGACGTGGTTCCCGATGGTTCCTGGGCGTTGTGCCTGGTGATTCTCGAGCATTGTGCCTCGATTTTTACCAAGCTGTGTACCTTGCAGGTATTTCTTGACTGCGAGCTTGGCTGTTCCTGGGCTGTTTACCTAGCAGCTCACAGTCCGCATGCCAGTCTCTTTTTTTTTTTAATTCATATCCTCAGTCTCCTACAGGTCCTGAGGCTGTGACCCTGGTTTTCAAATCCCCGTGCTGAGTTTTTCCTAGCTGTTGATTTCCTATGTTTTTGGCCTTTGTGGTCTGTCCTGGTAGGTTTGATTTGTTTTTTCGGTCTTGAGGGCTTGTTCTTGATGATGCACATGGTGTTGGCCTTAGGCTCTGCTTGGGGTGTCCTTTGGCCTTGCTGTGCTTGTGTGCACACCTTCACCTAAGTGTGCAGAAACACATCTGAAAAATAAGAAAATGGTGAACACAATTTCGGCTCAATTCGCCTTCATCAGAGCAAGATAGAGTGTTACTATCTAGAGTTGCCACTCTTTATCTTGCTTCGATGAAGACGAATTGAGCTGAAAATGCATTCAGCATTCTCTATTTTTTTCATATGTGGTATTTCTGCATACTTGGATCAGTATTTTTGTGATCGTTGTTACATAATTACCTAAATTTAAGTACTTAAGTGTAGTTGCAGGATGAGAGCTATGATCATGGTTTACTAACCTAGTTGTGCTTGTGGGGGTTGAACTCTGGCTTTTTAGTCCTGCCTCTCAACTGTCAATCAATTGGTGTACAGATTTTGTGCTTGTTGAGATACAGGCACCATGCAACTACTGTATATTCCAGTTTTGGTCTCAAGAAATTTGTAAACAATTTCTTTAATAGTTCACAATCCATGTACTGTGTTTAAAATCAATTCTGAAGTTGGAGAGCATAGCACATGCTTCTTGCATAATGTTGTTTATGTGGTCCTCTGGTGACAGTCTACTATCAACAACCACCCCATGATCTTTCTTTGTCAGAGTTCTTTAGTACCTTCCCACATATTGTGTGTGGCCTATTTTCTCCTATTCCACATTCTATATTGCAGTTCCCCGTGGCGTAGTGGTAAGATGCTTGCCTGGCGTTTCGCGAGCGCTTTGTCCCGGGTTCGTATCCTGACCAGCGGGATTTACTTGCTGCAAATCCTTAACTGTAGCCTATGTTTAACCCAGCAGTAAAATGGGTACCTGCTTGTTAAACGATTTTGCGTGTCATATTCCGGGGAACATGGATTAAGGACTTGCCCAAAATGCTATGAGTGCTAGTGGTTATACAAGAATGTAAGAACTCTTGTACAGTATACATAAAAAAAATAAAAATAAAAATTATCATGGCATTTATCCACGTTGAATTTCATTTGCCAGTGTTGCTCCATACTTATTTTTGTCCAGGTGATCTTGAAGGTTATGACAATCGTCTAAGTCTCTTATCTACCCCTAGTAGCTTAGTGTCAACAGCTGCCATGTTCTTGTAGTTCTGTATTCCTTGTATTCTGCTGTGCTTATGATGTTTCTTCCTTTGCTTGGTCACCTGCCAGGGGCCTTTTGTTACTGCTTTTCTGTTTCAGAAATGTAGAGCCCCCTGTACTGAACCACTGTTGTGAAATAGAGAGGGGAGTCAGGAGCTACTGACAAGGTCCTGTTTAAAATTGTGCATTGAAAAATAATGTAGGGCACTTTTCTGGTGAGACCCTCCATAGCTTGCCTTCCCCACCTTGTTTCCTTTACCATAAGGTTTGTTTTGGGTTGTTTGTGAGGGAGGTAGTTGGCCAGCCGGAGCCTCGGGTGACCTGCTCCTTCAGGCTCGTGTGTTTATACTGTATTATAGTAATCATTATTTGTACTCTTACCGTTAAATCCCTAATTTCGTTCAGGCAGTTGCTTGTTTTGTTGTGCTCATGCTTTCAAGGTGGGATTTTACTCAATTTTTGGATAGATCTCTGATCTCCCCAAGCTCACTTCACATCATGGAGTGAGCCAGAGTCTGGTCTTGGCTTCTTGTAGGTCAGGATGAGTTTGAGAGGCCTGATGTTTTGCCTTAAGGCATGGTTTAACCAGCACTTAGTACAGAGAAGCTACTGAGGGCTGCAGAAAAGTGCATTTCATTACATTCAACACTTGTCTTTTTAATTAATTGATGATGTCTTGATTATGACTTAAATTTTCTTCTACAGGTAAAACCCTTGGGTGTTATATGGGGAAAATACAAACATTACACTCAACAAAACACTATAATGTTTGATGATCTACGCCGCAATTTCTTGATGAACCCACAAAATGGCCTTAAGATCCGAGCCTTCCGACAGGCTCACCAAAATCGAGCTACCGATCGTGAATTGCTGCGCCTAGCATCCTACTTGGAGGACATTGCTCAGATGTCCGATATTTCTACCCTCAACCATAGTAAATGGGAACATTATCGTAAGGATGGTTATAACTGACCCTCGACAGTAAGTGCTAAGGAGCGGTCTGGCTAGCATTTGCTTGCAAGGATGACTATAGGTGCTGCTTTGCCAAATCTCTGCTATGGCAACACAGTTGAATTTTTATGTAATTCTTTCATTGGTATGTATAGACAAAGGATAAATAAACTGAAAAAGCTTTACCAGTTCTCACTACAGTTTTAAGAGGCGGCTGAAATTGTTACTGCTCACAACCATGTCAACACTTTGGCTTAGATTACTGCATTGTTTCCATAGTATTTTAATAGCATGTCAAATTACAAACTTGTGGACAATTTACATATTTTAATTTGAATTAATAAATGGTTAATTTTGACTGATTCACATATTTCTGCATTTTACTTAAAACTGGACAACAAGACTGTGGAACTGTGCAATACAATATGTATAAGAATACATACCTGAAAAATATGTACATGATTGGAATAGATTCATGAGAAAATTGTTTAATTTGGTCACATGTAATAAAACTTTATTAACAGTATGTTTGGATTTTGGTTTTGTAATACTGTATTGTGTTATGTAAAATGTTTTGATATAAGTCAACTCCACAAGTACCTGTACTGTAAAAAAATAATAGATGGAAGCTTTTAAAGTTTGGAATCCTGTAGAAGTTTTTCTGGCTTTACAAAAAGAGAAAATTTAATTCGGTGGAAAGATTGGATTGTCCGGGTGTGACAAGTAGACTAAAAGAGTTGGGTGACTCGGGCAACCTCCCACTCGCATTTCTGCTGTGTAATATTGGGATTACCTGCTATTGATATTAATCGTGTGAAAGTCAACTATTTGTTTACAAATCGTGCACAATACACACCAACCTATCTATGCTTTCTTGTCAAACATACCCCAGCCCATCTTTCTTCTCATACACATTATACACCAACCCATGGTCTCTGTCATACACATTATACACCAACCCATGCTCTCTGTCATACACATTATACACCAACCCATGCTCTGTCATACACATTATACACCAGCCCATGCTCTGTCATACACATTATACACCAACCCATGCTCTCTGTCATACACATTATATACCAACCCATGCTCTCTGTCATACACATTATACACCAGCCCATGCTCTCTGTCATACACATTATATACCAACCCATGCTCTCTGTCATACACATTATACACCAACCCATGCTCTATTCTCATACACATTATACACAACCCATGCTCTTTGTCATACACATTATATACCAACCCATACTCTCTGTCATACACATTATATACCAACCCATGCTGTCATACACATTATACACCAACCCATGCTCTATTCTCATACACATTATATACCAACCCATGCTCTCTGTCATACACATTATACACCAACCCATGCTCTATTCTCATACACATTATACACCAACCCATGCTCTCTGTCATACACATTATATACCAACCCATGCTCTCTGTCATACACATTATACACCAGCCCATGCTCTATTCTCATACACATTATATACCAACCCATGCTCTCTGTCATACACATTATATACCAACCCATGCTCTCTGTCATACACTTTATACACCAACCCATGCTCTCTTGCGATACACATTACACAAAAGCACATAGATCTTAGGTTCTGTCCTCTGTTGCCCTCACAGTAAAGCATAAGATCCAAGTTACCACTTGACCATCTGCTGAATACCATTCCTAATCTCCAGCAGCAGTGATCTCGATCCCAAATATTCATCACAATCTCCAGCAGGATAGTCGCATGTTTATTGTCTAACAAGTTGTCTATTCACAGCGTTGTATGTTGTAATTTGTTTAGGTTCAAGGCCAGGTACTGGAACTAGTTTGGTTGGATGTGTCTTGATAGTGTGGTCCCCTTTCATGCCTCGGCATGTGAGGCCTTCCACCTCGGCATGTGAGGCCTTCCACCTCGGCATGTGAGGCCTTCCACCTCGGCATGTGAGGCCTTCCACCTCGGCATGTGAGGCCTTCCACCTCGGCATGTGAGGCCTTTCACCTCGGCATGTGAGGCCTTCCACCTCGGCATGTGAGGCCTTCCACCTCTTCACTTCCTTATTTTCCTTCTCTAACTTGTAGATTTCCTCTCATTGTTATTTATTCTGTTTTATTAAAGTGTGCATTATGTTACACTGAAATCTTGTAATTATTATATAATTTTTTACATGATACAGAGTAGAATTTGTTGTATGATATGGTTAATTTTTATACATGACATTTTATATATAATATACTTCTTTATATTATTTACCACCCTATTATATTCAGCACTGAAATTAACAAATCTTAATATAACATTTCAACATAAATACACCTTTGAAAGCATAATTGAAGTATTTTGAAATGTACTATATTTCAGTATTATCGAGCAACACAAGCAAACACAAATACACACACACACACACACACACACACACACACACACACACACACACACACACACAAGCTCTCATCCTGTAACTACACTTGGGTAATTACATACACAAGCACTGGTACACATTCACACACACACACAAAATGGGGTTCCACAAACAAAGCTTTATCTCTGTGATTACAGTTCAGTAATCACACATACTATAAAATGATTTCATTTATTTTGATAAAATACTGTAGTATGTATTACATAATGTATTTTGATTTTGCCTTATTGAAATTAAAATGTTGGTTTGTCTCAGTGTGGATTCACTCCAGTATAATTAGGAATTTCTGTACTTTTTTTTAACAAATCCGTACTGTGAACACTGTTGTATTGTACAGTAGATGTATGTGCTGTACATGACTAAGAAGCAACTCATACATTTAAGCATGTATGGAGGCCAGCATACATTGCTTGCAGATATGGGGCCAGATACCGGACCATGCATGTTAATATATTGTACTCTCAAAGCATGTTAAACAAATTAGTGGTTTTCAGATCTGTTCTATGACCAATTAGTCCTAGTATTTATTTAGTTTCTTGCTAATGTAACTGAAAGAAGCATTTTGTCATAGTGTTTATAAATGTGGGAATGTGGGTTGGTACAACACTTCCAGATCAGAAAACAATGCCTCTACTCCCACATGGAGATCATCGTACTACGGAGTGTAGTCATTCCGCTACATGTTTTCAGGGCATAGTTGGGCAGTTATATCATTTGTGTAAGTGAAGCAACGTTAAAAATCTTTTTATAAGGAATTATTAAATATTATACACGTACTATAATTTGTATTTAAATTTGCTGCCTTCTATAGCTTGTGGTATGAAGACCATTTTTATTAACACTGGGACACCTGTTTTGCAGCAGTATATCCACAGTGGCTTAAAAAGCAGCCTAAAAGCAAAAATTTTCCATTAACCCAAATTAAAATTAAAATTTCAATAGCAATTAGTGTCCTTTTTCCTCAAAATAATATTGTTGCAAGTAAGCAACAATTATAAGGCACGTGTTCCCAAGTTGTATTACCATTATATACACGCAACCTATAATAATTATTTTGTTTATTTTAGGAAGGGTATTTTCTTTTTTCCTTTTCCTCTATATTAGGGCAAGGTGTGCTCTTTTCATAGATACATGACACAATATCAAAAAATATTTTGATAAAATTCATTTTTTGAATTTATTATATAATATATAAACTGGCCCAAGTAACTCAATATATGTCCTTTAGTGTTTCAAATTTATAGATTATTATTATACATACAACAAATAATCCTACTAAGGAATTTTTTTTATTTTATTCATATTACAGCGAAAGTTTATTCAGCTCATGTTTGCTCTACACTGATATGTGCTTTTTCTCATTTGAAGTTGTGAAAAAGCTCTTTATCTATTTACCAATTACCATTATACTGCATTTAAAATATATATATACTGTATATATATATATATATATACTGTGTGTGTGTGTGTGATTATATATATATATATATATATATATATATATATATATATATATATATATATATATATATATATATATATATATATATATATATATATATATATATATATAATATAATATATAATATATATATATAACAAACACACATACATACATACAGTGGGGCCTCGACTTACGATGCTAATCCGTTCCCAGAGATGGATTGTAAGTCGAAATATCGTAAGTCGAAGCGATTTTTCCCATAAGAAATAAAGGGAATTGAATTAATCCGTTCCCCACCCTCCAAAATATTAACATACACATACATTTTATACTGAATACAATGTTTTTTATAACTATAATACAGTACCTAAGTTGATCTTACCTTTATGGAGGGCTCTTGATGGGGTATGGAAGATGGTGATGAGGGGGGGGGGGGGGGAGGAGAGTTGTTACTGTTTGGAAGGGGAGTCCCCTTCCATTATCATATCAGGCAGTGATGTTTTCTCTGGGGTACTCTCTCTCCGACGTTTTGCCTGAATACCACTAGGACCTGGTTGTGGTTCAGTGCTTGCTTGTCTCACTACAAATTTGTCAAGAGACATTTGTTTTGCCCTTCATTTTAACATTTGTCTGTAATGATGCATCAAAGTGTCATTGAATAGGTTAAGGCAACGACCTACTGCAGCTTGATTTGGGCGAGTCGTTTCAGCAAAGGTCTGCAATTTTTCCCATGCTGCACACATTTTCTTCATTGTTGAGGAAGAGACATTCTGTACTGGCACATCCTCCCCTGAAGAAATTTCTTCAGCTGCCTCTTCTTGCTGCTCCTTTTGAAGGGCTTGGAGTCCTTCGGTGGTCAGTTCTTCATTGTGTTCTTCCACCAACTCCTCCACATCAGCACCATCCAACTCCAAACCCAATTGCTGACCCAGAGAAACAATTTCCTCAACGAGAGGCACTTCAGGTTCAGGCTCAACCCCTTCAAAGTCTCGTTCTGCAACACATTCAGGCCACAGTTTTCTCCAGCCAGAGATCATGGTTCTTACAGTCACTTCTTGCCAGGCTTTGTCAAGTTTTAAACCACTATAAATGTTAGATATTTTTTCCAGAACTCTTTGAGGATGAGGTTTGTGGCATCCGTCACTTCGACATATCTCCGGAAAAGTGCCCTTTCATAAAGTTTCTTAAAATTGCCAATGATTTTATGGTCCATAGGCTGAAGAAGAGGAGTGGTGTTGGGAGGAAGGAACTTTATTGTAACAAAACTAAATTCCTCCATCAATGAATGTGAGTGTTGATAGTATTGCTCAGAATTTGTTTGTTATGCTCACCTCTGATGCGCATCACATTTCCTTTGATACTTGGGTTATTTCTCAAAATTGGATAGTACATAAACTCTGAAGAATTATTTTACCGTTTGACAAAACACTAAACTTCATTGATTAATATGGTTGATACGTTAACTGTTTCCATCATAGTTTAGTATTCATAGGCATTTACTTGTAATTTAGCCCCAGATGCAAAATGCAGTGTATTACATTGTTGTAAAGATCTAAATCATAAGCAAGCAAGGACCCAAAAGTAGTTTTTAGAGGATGTAATTTAATATTGTTACAGTCCTATCATAATTGTCAAAGATCTCAACATTCTTTGTACCCTTTGTTTGATAAGTTATATTATATTGTCTTTCCTTCTGTATATTGTAATTCATAAACTTGTACAGTATTTAAATTTTATACCAGGTGTAGTGCTAGTAGCATTTGTGAATGCTTCGTATTGTTGGAAAAATGATCTGGAGTCAGAGTGGCTCATCATTCTAAAGTCTTAACCATAATGGATTTTTGTCTGCTGGCTTTCAATTTCATATTCATGTTATGCTGAAGTTTGTGAAAGTCTTGAATTAAGCAGAAATTTTGTGGATATTCTAAACTGTTAGATATCCAAATTACATTAAATGTAGTGCTGTTATTTATTCTTAATTGTTGTGTAGGAATCTTAGGGAGTTGTTGCTGATGTGGTGTCATGAAATATATTATTATTTAAATCTTAAATTACTCGGAGATAAACTATGAAGTTGGAAGGTGTGTATGGTATTTTTCACGAGCTGTTTAAAACAAAGCAAATATTGAGTAAATTATTTTGTTTCATGAGTACAGTATTTAGTTATTTGGGCTCTACATTTTGTCATGAAAAATACATATTATGAATAAGTACATAAGTGGCAAGAATGATTAACTTGATAATAAATACTGTCCTAGCACTGATGTCATGGCTAAGCATAATTGACATGGAACCAGAGGATTTGTAAATGATTTACAGGGTATTAGTTATACATTAATGTAAACATGATAACTGATATATTCATAGAATTGACAATTTTGAGCGAGGTATTTCTGTGGTGAATTGCATTAATTGAAGGATTTTGGTGTTATAAAAGCTTAAATGAGGCATTACAGCATTGAACCATTTTCTAATCATAAATTTAAAGATAAAATGTTTGAAGATAGGTCGGCATGGTGAAACCTGGTTGTTCACAACAGTAATAAGCTAGAGTTTGAAGGAGCCAATTAAATGTCTTGGATATGAAATTTTTGGGAAATATTGCCTAAATGCTTTATCACTTACATTTTATAATAGAGTTGTTAAGGGCTTGTTGATATTATTTATCAGTTGCCATCTCATAATTTGGCCAAAATAAGTTTTTTACAAAAATAATTATGAACTATTGCTGCAAAATGGCAAAGAACCAAAACCATTGTTTCAAGAGTGAATACTGCTGATGACATTTTTTGAGTGACCTTGAGAAACAAAGCCACAAGAGAGAAATATAATAATAATTCATTGTCGGGGGACAGGAAGTCAGGTTATACATCAGTACATGTTACTTATATCGAGGCCCATCCAGGATCGAATTACAAACCCCGCCCAGAATGTAACCCCACAACAAGCCGACTTATCTCCCGGGTACCTATTTACTGCTAGGTGAACAGAACCATTAGGTGAAAGGAACCATGCCAAACCATTTCTGTGCTGCCCAGAATTTGAACCCGGAATTCTTGATTGAGAACAAGCCCAACTGTACTACCTGGACCTCTACAGTGCCAGGGGAAGAAACTGAAGTGCATCTAATTATTGATGTAGAGGAAGATATGTGATTACGCAGGCGATGAGTCACAATAACGTGGCTAAAGTATATTGACCAGACCACACACTAGGTGAAGGGACGAGACGTTTCGGTCCGTCCTGCACCATTCTCAAGACGATCGGAATAATTTATAATTGACTTGAGAATGGTCCAGGATGGACCAAAGCGTCTTGTCCCTTCACCTTCTAGTGTGTGTGGTCTGGTCAACATTACGTGATTACCTTTGGGTTGAATCTTATATAATACTGCAACATACACAATTTGTGTGTGAATGTATTATATGAGAGTAAATAGAGGATACAAATGAATAGCAAGAAAATTAATATATGAGAAGCAGATTTAGAAATTTATGCAAACTATCCAAAATAACATTCATAGCAATTTAAGCAGGGCTGTGATGTGATAATTGCCGAATATTTTTGTCAGTTACTAATGGGCCAGTATCTTATATTATAACTACCGATAGTAATTGGATTTGGGCACAATTTCATATACCGCACTAAATTTCCTATTGCATCCACTGATGACCTCTGCCCATTGTCTCTAAACTGAAAGTCTTTGTTCACTTCTCGCCCAACCACTTGGGGTGGACGGTCTTGCGTCATGCAGGTCGGCGTTCAATCCCCGACCGTCCAAGTGGTTGGGCACCATCCCATTCCAGATCTTTATCCTGACCCCTTCCACGTGCTATATACAGTAGTCGTTATGGCTTGGCACTTTCTTTTGATAGTTCCCTTCACTCTGTCTTTTCATATTTACCAGTTGAAAGACAGTAAAGTTCTTATGGGCTCCCAACCACACTGATGTTTCCATCTAATGACCTCTCAAACACCGCTGCTGCTAAAGAGGCCATTCACATCTGTCCCATCTTCCAGAAGCAAATTCCTTGCTTAGATCTCCACCTTATCATTCATAACACTATCATCATTGGAGAGATAACTTAATTTGTCATTCATGATAAATATTAAATGTGGCCTTCCTTCTACCACTGATCAGCAAGTGGGAAATGTATTGGCCCACAGTTAACTCAAGGAACTTAATGAAACGAAGAACTGCACCTTATTGTCAGAACTACAGTGTGTTGCTAACAGCTTCTCACCTCTCAGAACATCCTAATTTTTTCAGGATAAAAAAATTGTGCATTCCTGATTTTTTGGGGGTCATTTGTCCCCCCCAATAAATTCCCAGGTGAATTAGATACCTTTGACATCGCTTGTCTTGTGTGTATTTTTATTCTCATATTGACATTCTGGATGATGCCTAGGAATTTTTTAATATTCCTTGACATGGTGCTTAAATAGTCTTGGTGCCTTCAATAATCAATCAATCCTTAATACCTATTGATAATATCCTTTGTTTTCTTAGAGATTCCTCAACCCATCCTCATAGCTTAAGTCCTCTCAATTATGGTACAGTATTAGTTTTGTTGTAAAATTTTGTACACTTTCAAGTCTTTAAATTAGTTACCCAAGTGCTT